GTCAATATTCCTTTTGTGTTTTTGTCCTGCTTTCTTGCCAGGACTGATAAAATACATTTTCTTTCCGAAGACAAGGGACAAAATGAAGTTTCCCTCCAGTTCCATGTTAAAAATGCATTGGTATAGGGTGGGTACCGTGTAGTGTAGTGGAGGGAGTGAAGGACTAAGACTTGGGAGACTTGAGTTCAATTCTCTTTTTGGCTACAGAAATTCACTGGGGGCAGAGTGGAACTAGTAAAACCATTCTTTAAATATCCCGCTTCTCTTGAAAGCCCTATTAGGATCACTATAAATCATTTTGATTTGATGGCACATAACGGGAGGTTGGACTGAGTAGCCTTTGGAGTCTATGATTCTGTTTTTTGATTCTGTGACAAGATAAGTCCCTGGTCTCATTCAGTAGGACTCATCTGATGTTCACTATGATGTTATTCTCAACTGGATTCAGTTTTCACTAGTTAGTAAAATAACACTTAAGGTGACTTTTTGTATTTGATTCAGTCCCTTATAAAGGCATAAGTAAGCTGAGCATCACACAGACAAATATGCTTCTGCAAGCAGATAATGCAACTGCTAAGCTTGATTTGATGAGCTGAAAATGAGAATTATTGGCAAGAATGATTCAGTTTCAGCCCAGTTTTCGCTGTCTTATTTTCTTTCTAGGCACTTTCCATATACAGTATTAATGATCCAGTGTTGCCCTCTGGCGATGAGACAGGATTTTACAGATTTTTCTTCTAAAAATATCCAATGTGAAATCAGATTAGATACACTGAGATTGTAAGTGTGTGTTTCAGGGCAACAATTAATGCACATAAAATGATATGTAAGAATTTTTATTGGTAAATGCAATGTATGATTTGCTTCTTACAGCTTTTCTGGAATATCATGTGATTCATAAAGTGATGAGTATCCAGGCCAGTGGTTCCCAACCTTGGGTCTGCAGATGTTCTTGGACTACAACTCCCAGAAATCCTGGCCAGCACAGCTAGTGGTGAAGGCTTCTGTGAGTTTAGTTCAAGAACATCTGGGGACCCAAGGGTGGGAACCACTGGTCCAGACCAAGTTTCCAAACTTGCTGTCTGCCAGGTATGTTGGATGACTACTCCTATAGTCCCCCAGCCAACATGTTACATTATTTTGTGGGGTTATAGGAGTGGTAGTCCAACACGTCTGGCACCCAGGAACTACCACAGTTGCCATTCCCAAACAATGCACACAGCCTTAGCGACAGCATACATGACATATGAAGAGTCTATCCATGTGGGCTTTGAACAGGGGTTAGAGAGCTAACTGCCATTCAGATGATTTTGCCACCCCAGGGCTTGCACTACTGCTGCTAGGACTTCTGTAAGAAGAAGGCTCATGAGTCATGATACTCATGGACCTCTCCCTTTGTCCCAAATGGCACAACAGTCCCAGGTGCATATACCCACCACCTCTCTACCCATGTCCTTCTCCATGGCTTTGGTTGCACCAGTGTTGTGCAAGTGCAATACACATAGAACCGCCACCATGCTGAGCCTTACAGCAGCTGGGAATGTCTGGATATGGATGTATAGGCTTTTAAAGTCCACCTCACACTTAAAAGAAAATAAATAAATAAAAAAATAAAAAGGAAAAAAGAGTTTAAAGTCCACCTCACACTTAAAAGAAAAATAAATAAATAAATAAAAGACAAAAAGGAAGAAAGAAAAAGAGAAAGAAAGAGCTCAGATTATCCCCTCCTCAATTGCTGCTTGCCCAGAGATACGTGACTTCACTGATATACCTGGGCAAGTATTGTAATTCCTTGAGACTTCAGCTGGTGTCCAGACTAGGATGTCCACTGCTCTGTCACCAAAAGGAGGACATGGGTGATAAACACTAAACAGGAAGGCACTTTTGCATTAAACTTGCACATGTTAATTTAAGTTACTATATGCAAATATTATGTTGGACATTATTACTATGATTTAAGTAGGAGCACACTATAGCTCATCATATAGCTCATCACTATAGCTCCTTTTGGGAGCACAGAACTTAGAGGAAGAGGGGATTAAAATCAAATAAATAAACAAGAGAGGGCACTGTAGTTTTATTGAATTATCTAGCCAGACAACAGTCAATTATTTCAGAAGAATAGTCTGAATAGTGCTTTCAAAATATCCAGTCCTGAGATTGGTCTCACATCTGAAATTCATACAGAATTGACATGCTGTGCCATATCCTTCCTGGCATTCATCAGTAGTTATATCAGTGTGTATAGTTTGTTTCTTTTCTTATAAAATGATACCCCCCTTATTACCATTTTCTTTTAAAAAATGAGGGAGGGCTGATTAGACACATTTACCAATCAAAGCCTCTATTATATTCAAGAGAATGTATTCAAGAGAAAACTGGACCACCATCTGTCAGATCTGCATTGATTTGGATTCCTGCATTGAGCAGGGGGTTGGACTCAATGGGCTTATAGGCCCCTTCCAACTCAATTATTCTATGATTCAATCAATACATACAGGCTTCAATCCTGTTTCACATCTCCATGGTCATAAAGGCTGATGGCCATCAGTGATCACCCATGGACGTTAAGGTTTAATTTAAAATTTCCTATCCCCCCCCCATCAAGTTCCAAGGCTCCCTTGGGATCCTTTTCAACCTTGGGACGATGTTGGAAGCCTTAGGATGAGAGGAGATTTTAATATCTGAAAATCACTATAGGCAGTCCCACCCTAGGGATTAGGACTGCCAATGGCCATTTTCAAATACGTATTTAAGAATCCTCTGTACCCCTGAAAGTCTTGAGTCTCCCAAAGATTTCCCCAAGTCAAAAGGGATCTTTGGAACTTGAGGGTAGAGTAGGAAACTTTAAATTAAAGATTAGTGACTGGTGATATCAGCATTATGATTGCTCAGCTCTCCCAACTTCATACATAAATTACTCATAATAATTTGGCCTCAGCTTCTGATTTTAATGAATTTTCTCTGTCTTTCCCCTGCAGCCAATGCTATAAAGCCCAATCTTTTCATGCTAGTGAAAATATGCATTCATATTAATGGTCACTAATTAATGTTTGACTGTTTAAGCCCAATTACAAATGGATTGAAATCACTAAATTTGATATTTATTTTCCCATCTTTTTCCTTTCCTTTCCTTCCTTAGGCTTTCTAGCTTCTCCATATGGTTTGGGTTTTATTATTTTGATTTGAATAGGTCAAATGACCATGATAAACATTGACTTGACTTAATGGGAATTTGACTGGATAAAAAGAAAATAGAAATGTCATCATTCACTCATCCTTCCCTGAAAATAAGACAGGATCTTATATTACTTTTTGCTCCAAAAATGCATTAGGGCTTATTTTTAGGGGATTTTTTTTCATGTACAACAATCTACATTTATTCAAATACAGTCATGTCATTTTCATCTGGTTCCTGCACAATGGTGGAGGGTGGAGTTTCATTTAACTGGGGCTTATTTTGGGGGTAGGGTTTATATTACAAGCATCCTAAAAATCATACTAGGGCTTACTTTCAGGTCAGGTCTTATTTTTGGGGAAACAGGGTATCTATTAGGTCTTTTTGAGCTGTGTTGTGTTTTTACAGGTAGTGTAGAGAAAAAGGTTGGAATTCTAGGCAAATTTACAAAAATGTTGCAGGGAACTGGGAGAAAAGAAAAAGGGCAGTGACATGCACAGCAGAAAACTCTGTGTCATTTAGTAGGCTGTGTCTGTGTGCCTACTTAATCAGAAAAAGGAAACATTGCATCCTTTCCCCATTAACATGGGCAGATCTGTTGTCAGGGTAGGTGGATGGAAGTGGTAGATTGCCTGAACATTTCCTGCAAACAGAATCAGTAACAGAAATAAATGAAATATACTTTGGTCTTCCATGGATAGGAATAGGAAGGTTATAAAATGCACAGCCTATTACATTTTCTATAGAACAGGAACATTTTGTCAAATTGGACATGTCTGAAGTCCTGTGGCAAGGAAACCTACAGAGTAACTGAACAGTGTAATGTGATTTAGATCAAAGGTTTAATAATCATGTGCCGTCAAATCAATTCTGACTTTTGTATTATTCCCTTCTTCTGGGGGGTGCCCTGGGACTGTACAGCTTGTCCAAGGCCAAACAGGGTGGCTCTACTCCCAGTGGGGAACTGAACCCCCAATCTCTCACTCTGCAGCCAGATACCTAAATCACTGAGCTATCCATCCAGCCTGATCACAGGTATAGGCAGCATAAAAATGTCTGGGTCTTTCATTGAAATCAGTGGAAGAACCAGTTAACTGATAGATTAGTCCTGTTCAGATGAAAGACAATTGAAACCTAATGTTAGCAAGGGGAAAATGAAAAATCCCGCCCTCACCATATACCTCTAGGTCATGCAGATCAGTGATTCTCAACCAGTGAGGCATGTACCACCAGTGGAATGCTGAAATTGTTTTGGTGGAACAAATTAGTAAGAATTCATTTTCCACAATTCCCATGTCTTCCTGCAGGTGTAAAGTGACTTCTATGAAGTCTACCATAAATTATCCATCTATGACTATTTACCATGCTTGTAGAAACTCTGGACACCTGCATGTACTCTCAACATTAGTGATATGAATCTCATATCCTAACTTACGCTAAGTGTGAAATATAAGAGAACGGCCAAACTCCATGTGCACATGTACAGTTTGCATAATTTGCTGTGTCTAATTGCAGCTAAATGTCGAAGTGTTGGGGCGCATTTCAGTTGCGTAACGAACCAGGGACAAAATCAAGACATACTAATTAGAGTATGCAAAATTAGGCAAAATGCCTAATTAGAGGCAGCAAATTGTGCAGTTATTATGCATATATATATGCAGTTCCAAGAAAAAGTGGGCTTTTTGTTTCAAACATGATGGGAACATGATTTATTGAGAGAATGCCTGATGGGCTGTAGGATACAGAAGGCTGAAAGCCAAGTATACATCTTGACACCTGTAACGTAGCACAGAAGGGGTTGAGTGAGACAACAGACTAGTCCTTTTTCAGTTCACAGAACCCCAATTCTTTATTAATCACAGCTTGCTCACAATGACATACAGGAAAAGTAGCACTAATGTAGAATATGCAGGCAGCAATTTCAGAACATCTTTTTGGGAAGAATGTGAAGTGTTGATCTGGTAAGACTGGACTTGGCACAAGCTCCCTGACCAATCCCCCCCCCCTGCTGCTTCAGCCCTTGTTACTTCACCTATCTTTTTACAACCTAGGCAGGACAGACTAATGCCACAGAGCTGAGGTCAGCAGGATCACACTCAGCTCACTAAGTCCAGATGAAAAATATCATACAGAGCATCTTGTATTATAATGAAACAGAGTAGCTTAAGGCTGGAATCCTGCCCGCAAAGATCCACCTCTTGGCCCCCACTGATTTCAGCAACCATGGACAGAACTATGGCCTAAAATAAATAGAACAAGTCAGTCACAGCATCTATACCTACAAGCCCCTTGACTCCAATTAATGCATTTCTCTAACAGTGACTTGGAAGTTGGCAACTTGGATTCATTTTGGAATCCATCCTTAACAAGAAAAGAAAAAAGCAATTTGGCCCCGATATAATTGATAATTCTCAGCTGCATCTAATAGCTAGCTAAAGTGCAAAATTGCTTCTATTTGCCTCCTCAATGTGGAGAAGCAATTTTTCTTTTGAAGGTGGGTGAAAATGCTTGCCATGAAAGCCAATTTACAGTGCAAAGAGAGACATGTTTACTCAGAAGTAAGTCCTTTTGCATTCAACAGGACATATTCCCTTGTAAGTATATTTGGGTCTGCTGTCTTGAACTTGCGACTTTATACATATTTACTTGGGATTATGTTCTGTTGAACTCAGGGAAGTTTACTTCACATAGTCACATATTCTATGTGTAATGCAATCCAAATTTTTGGTATACAACCAAAGTTGTCGTGCAACTGCTTAATATTCTAAGGCTATATTTTCAGGACTGCTGTTGAGCCTGAAATTTGCTTATTACCTTAAGGAAGTGTATTGATTACAAAGCTTTTAGGTAATTAGGCAATGACTGGAGTCTAGCACCATAGACCTTCTACCGACTCAGTTGTTCAGTTGGAATGAGTATAGTTCGGCATAGATTTTGCTGCAGGGAACTTCATAGCAAAGTTCTAACAAATTCAACTGAATGGAAGTAGACAACATCAAAAGCCTGTTACAGGACATGTAAAGATTATGAAATAACTTGCATAATGCAATACTTGTATTTTTTAACAAAAATGTAAGTATTTACAAAATAAGATCCAAGTTTTATTTTTTAAACATCAAGCAAATCATTCTGCAAAGACTGCATTGTTGTAATGTTTTTGTTTTGTTTTTATTGAGTTCTTGATTTCTTTTTTTTAAACCATGTCATACACTTCCCATACTAATATCTCATGATCTGTAATAATATAGGCAAGGGAGTTGGGGAGAGCAACGGGGCCTCATCCCACCCTTTCCGCTGCTGGGCTCAGCCAGACAGTTCCACCTGGAGCTCCTTGTTTCTGCGGACCTCTGCAGCATGCCTCTCCTGGAGGGGAAAAAGCCGAGAAGGTGTTTGGTGTCAGTCTTGTGGCCTTTCTTTGACGTGACAACCACATTTGCTTTCATGCATTTTAGGATAGGCAGCAATATAACAAACATTTTTATTTAGGCAAACATAACCCATTTTCTCTACCGTCCCCAATGCTTCCTTCTTTACATCTATAGAGAAGAATGACCAGAGATTGGTGAAAAGATGGTATGTGGAACCACAGTAGACATGGGATATTTGTATTCATAACCCTGGGGATATAAATATGACTATCGGCACCACAGGTGCTTGGGAAAACTGGACCTTCTCCCCAAACTGGCAGGTCCACTTTCTGCTTGCTGCATGACATTCGCAAGGCTGGTGTCATTCTCGTTGAGCCAATCTGGGAAGCAGTCTGGCTGGTGCTTCCCTGCCTCCCCGAGCAGCCGACCATTCTGGCAAGGAGACAGGATAATGAGTCTCCCTGCTCAGCTGTTGAGTGGTCAGCTGTGCAGGGAGGCAGGAAAACACTGGTTGGGTTGAGAATATTTTCCCCAGGCTTGATGAAGTATCTTTGGCAGATTCTGTTTTTTATTTGGACATGCCCGCCTTTGCTTTCCCCAAACCCCACAGTCCCAACATGCTTACCTTCTCCTGGAGGCGTTCAATAAGAGCAGCTAGGTTAGCTTCACGGTTTTCTTTGATCTGTTCCATTTTCAGTATCAGTTTTTCCTCTGCCATTTTGCTGAAGTTATTGTTCTCCTCCAAAGCCTTCTGAAGGACTTCTCGTTCATGTTCTCTCTTTTCTGCCAGTTGTTTCAACACCTGGGCCTCCTGGGACTAAGATTTACGGGATAGGGGGAAAAAAGAGCAATACAATGGATCCAGATTTCAAAATCACACCAATTTCAAAAACATTTCAGTACATCATTTGAAGGACTTTCTATTTTGTCTGAAGCGGCTGGAGGCAAAGGATATGCAACAGGAGAAACTAGATGAAACATAATGTTTCCAGGGGATTTACTAGACACAAAGCTGGTTTCTATTCCAGCAATAAAGATTTTCTTGCATTTGTACACCAGGAGTGACATGCCTACATGGAAAACTTTAAATGTTATGAGGATAGCTGAGAAATATGGATCTCTGAATAAGATTGTTACTGATGACACCACTCCCAAATATCCTGTTTTGGGGATCCTGTTTTGGTTTGCTCCTTTTCCTGGTGACCACAGGACATACGTGCCATCACAAACCAGCCTGTCCCTGATTGTTGCCTACTTGCACCTTTTCTAGGTCACTGTCAGGGGGTACTGTTTTATTGGCGTGGGTAGGATTGCTCTCTTTTGGTTTGGTTCTATATACGATTGTTGGAATCAAACCAAAGCAGGTGGCTAGCTGTCACTTTGCTTAACAATCTTGAGAAATGGAAAGCTTTCTTCCTACTCCCCTATGGAGGGGAAGTGAGGGGAATCTTTCAATGTCTTTCAATTGCTACTAATACATCAGTGGTGCTCTGAAAAGGCTTTTATGATGTGTCAGCAATAATTAAAAATAAATGGAAAACTTTTTGTCCCTTCCCCTCCAGAGTGAGAAAGATGTTTTCCCTTTCTTAAGATCATTAAGCAGCTTAAGTAAAGCTCAGAGGAGTAGACAGGAGGGGAATTTTGTTTTCTGGAAAAGGTGACACATTGTGCTAGACCTTGCTAGAAGACAGAAATAAGGTTACAACTTACTATGTGGCCAAATTTGGCTGGCTAGCCATCAAGCTAAGGTAAGTTCGGATTAATCAAATGGATAACAGCCTCATTGAGTAGCATATAATGGAAAACTTTTTGTCCCTTCCCCTCCAGAGTGAGAAAGATGTTTTCCCTTTCTTAAGATCATTAAGCAGCTTAAGTAAAGCTCAGAGGAGTAGACAGGAGGGGAATTTTGTTTTCTGGAAAAGGTGACACATTGTGCTAGACCTTGCTAGAAGACAGAAATAAGGTTACAACTTACTATGTGGCCAAATTTGGCTGGCTAGCCATCAAGCTAAGGCAAGTTTGGATTAATCAAATGAATAACAGCCTCATTGAATAGCATATGGTGACTAAGGCCATTTAGGCTAGCAAAGGCCCCTCAGGACACTAAAGGATGACAGTATAAAAATAGAGTTCTTCTCTATTTTATAAGAGTCTTATATATACTGTTAGTTTTGTATGGTTTGTCCTTGGTACTTAGAAAACCCTTGGAAGTGTTGGCATAAGTTGGAATCAGACTTGATGCTATGTAATTATTAAGAAATGAAAACATGTTGGAAGAAGCTCTCTTTCATAAAGTTGCAAATTCAGGAAGAATGGATAAAGAATCACATTTTTATTTATCATCACTCGGCAAGGACAGTTAGTGTAGAGCTTGTAAGTAGTACATTAAAATTTTGGTGCTAGTAATGTTGATTAGTAGGATATGACTCGAGTGGATCTTGTTTGTGTACACGTCTGTTGTTTTGGCTTCTAAAGTAAGAGGTTGGTTACCTTTCTCCTCTCCTCTGCAGCTTCCAGTTTCTTCTGGATCTCCTCAAGGGACAAATCCTTCTTCTTTGGAGAGGCTAAAGTTCGTGGTGCTTCCGAAACTGGAGAAGGTGGCTTTAAGATCAGTTCAAAAGCTTGGCCAGAGGCACGTTTGTTGATATGTTTAATTTCCATATCTGTGAAGGTAAAGGTACAGTATCTAAGTCGGACATCAGGCCAATAACTGGTGTTGATGAAAATAAGGGGTGATGTGTGGCTCAGACACGTGAGGCTGAAATTTTGAGGTGAGGCACATTCCTCCTTCAACCACGAGCCAGCCTTAGTCAAGAAGCAATAAGCATTACTTCCTGGGTTGTATAGTGGAATGATACTTCCAATTAACTAAGTGGCATCTTTTAATAAATGAAGAAGATATTTTTATTACAGAATTGAGGAAAATCAAGCCTACTATGAGGCCTACAGTCATTCGTTGGATCCTGTTTATAGTGTTTCAGGACTACATTTGTATATGAAATTCATGAAATTTAGAGAAAGATGTATACAGAACAAAGGAAGATCAATAAGGGTAGGATACTGAGTTTATGTTGTACTAGATGTAGAAGTATAATGAAGCAATAAGCTAAAATCGGTGTACTGGAGTTTTTGTAGCACACTGAAATATTCACTAGAAAGCCAACCTATTAATTCTGAGAGCTGCTGAGCCTAGTCTAGACTTGTATCACAACCAAAAGATAGTTGTTTTTTTCTATTACAGCTCCCATAATCCAGTTTCCAACATGGCCAGCATAACTAGGTGTGACCCAACTGATAATTTACCCTGATACTGTGGGGTGAGGCATCTTCTTCTTTAGATCATGAACTGCCTATTTTGGCCATTTCTGGTTGTATAACCTGACTGTGATTTATATACTTTTAAAAAGTATTCAAATATTTCAGTTAATATTTGTGGTTAACTAGCATGTATCTATCTGAATGGCAAGGTGATTCATTGTGATCAGTTGTAGGGCAAGTGAGATCTACTGGGCAGAAACAATCATGAGATCACCAAAAAGACAACAGGTTGAACATCTGAGAGCGATATGCACCATTTTCCAGGAATGGCCAAACAACCCCTTGCTAAGCAAGACAATTTTCACTGAAAGTTACTTACCATCATATGTATATATATTAATATTGCGAGGCTCAGGATAAAAACAGGAGCAGATCAAAGACAGCATGGACAGCTCCTTCATCTTTTCCTTGTAGGCTGAAATGAAAACGACTATATTACTATTGTTCACCTTTCTAGTTTTCTGCAACACAGAATATTTAATTTAGATGATAATCAGTATTACTGGTAGTTCCATAAAATTAATTGCTACTTTGCGGAAATATCTGTCAAGGTGAAAGGTTTCACCTAAATAGTTGCTTTTGATCTATTTCTATGCATCTAAACATCTGATTGTTCTCTCTTCCTCTTTCTCTTACACACATGAACACTTTGACTCTCCTCATTTATTAGAAGTAAAGGTCAAAAGTCAATGCAACCTATAGCCCAAGCAGGAAGGGGATTCCACTCCAAATCCAAAGGGACAGTTGACCCTTCCATGTTGAACCATCAGTTGCCCCACCACTAGGATTCCCAATGAGGTCTTTCTTATGGGTATAACTGTCTTTCACTGGAGAGATGGGAAGAAAACTGGAATGTACAATGCATGTGCAGATGGAATGATGAAGGCAAGATCCAGCACATGAATGGACTCCACCTCCCCACAAAAGGATAGTTTGTATGAACTCTAATTCTCCCACTGTCCTACTAAAATGGCCAAGATAAGAGGTTGCTTCTAGCTTAAATGTCTGTGTTGAAGTACAAACTGTATGTCAACATTTCACATGCCTGCAGGCTGGCAAGACTGGTACTATGACACACTTTGACTCAACTTCAAATATTGTCTTTAGGCATGAACTTTTAACTGTGGCAGACTGTTATTCCACCATCACCATTGCCATCTGTTTCCGAAGCTCCCACACCAAAATTAAAATCTAGTAATGGGAATGAGAAAAGTTACTTTTTGGAAATGCAACTCTCAGAATAGCTCAGTGAGCATGATTGCTGGGAGTTCCGAAGCTCCCACACCAAAATTAAAATCCAGTAATAGAAATGCAACTCTCAGAATAACTCAGTGAGCATGATTGTTGGGACTTATAATTTTGAGATATAACTTTTTCTATGTGTCTATGATATTTTCCTTCTACATGCATAGAGTAACATAATGTAACATATGCTCAGTTTTAATGCAGGAAAATATGCTTTGCATTACATATGACTTATTGTGACAGGGATTGCAGGTTACATAAAGAAAACTGTAGTTCACATGGTGGTATGCAACCTATATAAGTCTAGTTAACATTTTGTAAGAGTTTTGGAGGAAAGGCTTTCAGCTGCACTGTATTATGCCCACAGGCCCTACTACTCCCTTACCATTCCTCATGGTACTTATAATTCTTGTTGCACTTGCTGCAACTGGCTAACATATGGTAGCTACCTTGCTACGAAGGCTCTGCTGGATGCTCATTGGTTTAGGTATCTGGCTGTGGAGCCAGAGGTTGGGAGTTCAATTCCCCACTGAGCCCATAGGTCTCTCTCAACTCTAAGATTATTATTATAATGATAAGAATTTCCTAGAATCATAATTGTAAAGCTGGAAGGAACCAGATGAGTTACCATGTCCAAACCCCCAAAGAAGCAGGAAACCTACAGCTAAACCATTCCTGACAGATGGACATTTGAGCAATGTTTAAAAATCTCCAATACCTGCTAAGGTATTGCTGAGGTATTTCATCACTGAACAGCTCTTGATGTCAGGACGTTCTTCATAATGCTCAAACAAAATCTCCTTTCTCATAATTTGAATATATTGCTTTGGGTCATAAATTCTGGAGTGCAGAAAACAAGCTTGTTCTGTCTTCTACACACAACCCCTTCAAATATTTAAAGATAGCTATCACCTCTCAGCCTTTTCTTTTCCAAGTTGAACATACTCAACTCTTCCAAAGTTTCACAACAAGAAATATCAGGTCAAAGACATGCAAATTAGCTCTATGATGGTGTGTATTTTATTTTATTTTATGTTTTACTATATGACTTTATGATTTACTTGAGGGAGACTTGTACATTTTTTCATAATTAAAAAACCCTCCCTGTCTCTCTGCAGGCGATGGAGAGGAAGATTTGTGCATTGTTCCATGTCCTGAGGTATTTGTTTGTAATTATTAGTTATAACCTCAATGCTCATCCAACCAAATTCCAAGGTACTTATGTTTGCCAACGTACTCAACACTTTCCTCTTTTATCTTTCACATCATTTCTTGGGTTGCTTGCTTTTTGTTAATTACCGCAAACATGGTTTTCTCAATATTCATTTTTGGAATATTTTGATGTCACACTTGTTGGTTTTATTGAGTTACCTTTGCAGACTATCAAAACTGTCAGCTAGTAAAGCTGTGGTCTTTCCATATTGGATGTTAATGACAACCTCACAATTGACAATAATACTGTCTTTTGAATCAGGAAGTGCTTATCAAGATAGTTTGCAGAGTACAAATTGAAAAATAGTGGTGAAAGTACAAATCTTTATTGTAGACCTGTTCATGTCCTCTTTCATCTTTCTTCACATTTCCTTGTACCTTATTGTTTTCAGTACAAGTTTCCAATATGAATATATCTTGAAGAAATAGTTTTATTTACTAACTAATCCATCAGCTTTAGACAATTCTATTCTCCTGCCGTGCTGGAGTTTATCAAAGGTTTTCTTTTACTCAATAAAGTGAACCTACATATCTAAGTTCCTGTTGCATCGTCTGTCCCCTAGTATTTATAAACAACCTACTTAATTACAGTGATCTGCATAGCTCAGTGGTTTAGGTAGAGGTAAAGAGTTTGATTCCCCACTGTGTCTACACAGGCTGATAGTCATGGGCAAGCTGTGCAGTCCCAGGACCCCCCTAGAAGAAGGGAAGGGTAAACAACTTCTGTATTCTTTACCTGAAAATGGTCGCAATAAATCAGAATCCACTTGCTGGCATACAAACATACACAAAGTCCATTTTAATCTAAAAAACACAATGTCTTCAAAATTTTAAGTGGAAAGCACATACCATGTTTTCCCCAAAATAAGACAGGGTCTTATATTAATTTTTGCTCCAAGAACATTAGGGATTATTTTCAGGGGATGTTTTATTTTTTCATGTAGAACAATCTACATTTATTCCAATACAGTCATGTCATCTTCTTCTGGTTGCTGCACAAAGGTGGAGGGCGGGGTTTCACTTAACTGGGCCTTATTTTGGGGGTAGGGCTTATATTATGAGCATCCTGAAAAATCATACTGGGGCTTATTTTCAGGTTAGGTCTTATTTTTGGGGAAACAGGGTACAGTACTTCATATTGCTACTGCGCTGCTGAATTTCAGCAACACGTGCCTAATTCTGGTTGAGCTTATCTGGAGGACACTGATCATAATGTCTCTGGGCCTAATACAAATTTGCCACATAGGTTCTATCAATGTTTCCAATGATACATTCTATGTTTGGAAAAACTGACCAGAAAAGATTTCACCTGCTTTGAAAATTCTACCCCTAACTTTGATGAGTATTATTTTTGTTGCCGTATCCCATGTTCCTTACATTTTTGGCTGCCTGAATTGTAGCTATAGTTAGATATAGCAGCTGTTGGATTTTGATGGTAGAATCTCTTCAGACACTCTTTCTTCCCCTGGAATCTAGTGTCAGTTCTTCTATATATTTTAGAGACCAGATGCCTAACACATTTACTCATACTGTCTGAGGCCTGTAAATCATAACCTAACCATGGATCACTATTAAGGTGCTTCTCAGTCCCTTATTTTGTATCCTTTTGCCGAACAAAATGAAGTGCTGAAGGGAAAAATGTTTGATGCTGTGTTTTGGCAAAACGAGATCCCTGAATCAACCCAGTTGGTTGTTTTTTCTGGTTTGTGGTTCGTTTGTGCCTATCTCTACCTGTAACACACTACTTTGAGAAAATGAGAGTGTAGTCACGTTCCTTTAATAAACAAACACAATGATGCGTAGGATGCACTTGCTACTTCTTCTTAACTTAGTCTGGGGCTATTTTGAAGTTTTCTGTAGTAAGTCATTCTCTTTCTTTCTCTTTCAAGATGAACTTTTAAAAAAACTAAAAAGTAATATGTCAGAGCAATGAGTAATGATCATGAGATATAGGAAACCGTTCTTTTTGAAAAGTAACTTTCCAATCACTAGGCTTTGGCATCACATAAAAGCAGTTACTTCACTGGCCTCATTATGACAAGATTCCCAACATGTACCTAATTTTCTTTTGTTGGCTGCAGGGACAAAGAGTCAGGAGCACAACTTGGCCCCATCCCTCTTCTGAATCTTTTGTAGAGATTTTTGTTGTTGTTTTTTTAAAGCAAGCTCTCAAGTTTGAGTTCCTGGCCCCGAATCCAATTTAATTTTATGCTTCGGGAGAGATGCCACAAGAGAAAAAGGAAAGAGAGTAAAATCAGATAGAGCATGAAATGCAAACCACTCATGGGTCACATTTCTTTTAGAGTACTGGAACTGTATTGACATTGATCTTTCGATGATCCCATTGATGAAAGCAGTTCCTTAAAGTCTGAAGGTTAAGCCATGTGGTTATAAGGGTACTTTCAGGTTTGTATTAAACATGCTGCCCAGCAGATGCTGCCATTTTTTCAGTATCAGGCTGCACCTAGGCCAAAATTTTATTGTGCAGTTACACAAAAGGTGTAATGTCTGGAAGTGAATTGCTGTAATTTAAGAAATGTCTCTAGACATCATTGCACGCTGAGTTTTGTGACGCAGCGTGCAACAGGTAATATCTACAGACATTTAATAACTTACAGCAATTTGCTTCCAAAAGTTATACCTTTTGCCTAACTGTGCAAGGGAATTGCAGCCATTATGTGAACTACAGTACATTGGGTACAGCTGTCCTCTTGATTATTTGTTCTTGCTTGAACACAGAGCTTGGAAATAACTAGTTGCATGTAACAACGGTTTTTTTTTGTTTAAATGAAAAGTATAACTAAATGGCCAGTGTGGTGGTATGTCCTACACCATCTGAGTGATTGACTAGGGCTCAGGAGACCTGGGCTGAAGTGCCACTCAGCCACTGAAACTCACTAGGATAGTGATGGCACTGGCAAAAACTACTCTTTAAATACAGTACCTCACTTGTTGGGT